CCTTATGCACAAGATGGTCTTCAAAGTCTGTTTGATCAATAACAACTCACAGTCACAAGTGCACTATGCTTTGGGATGCCTGTCAGTCACTCTTGGTGGTGGTGACAGACCAACTTCCTTAACACTAGAGCAGCACTGAAGAATGAACCAGGTTCTCATAGGGGTGCCTGATCCCTCTGCACTGAAGTGAGGGTCTTTAACCCCATAGGGAAGTAAACAGATGGCCATTGCGACAGGCTCTGCAATCAGAAAAGCAGAACCAAGGAGACAAGACAGGGGTCAGCCTGCCCCTCACAGCCCCCATACAGTGTATTTGCTGTGGACATGCGGGTCTAGAGCAGTTCACCATCCCAGGCACAGGAGCTGCATGGGTGCAAGAGACAAGCGGCCTGCCCCTGGTTTGAGTTTTCATAGGATAACAAGCACCCTGGAGAATGTGTGGTCAGGTCCTTAACCCACACAGGCTCCAGCGGGGAGGAGAAACTACAGGAAGCAGATGGAGAAGGTAACCAGCGAGGTCCACTGAACAGCAGCCTTTCTCCACGACCCTTGCTGTGCGCCCCAAGGGGAAAGCCTCTCACCTTCTCCCCAGACACACAGGAAGAGCTGTTTCTGAAACCATTCTCTCTCCCCTCCCTACAAACAGCCCTACAAAGTGCACCCTATAAACTGTCTAGGTATTAAAGGAAGTAAATGAGCAAGAACTGAAATAGGCCAGGTTTACTGAAGAGTAAAAGACACAGGCAGCAGATTGGGACACAGTATGTCCATTAGTAACAAATTTAAAATGCTAGGAAATTCTAGAGCACCAGTGCAGGGAAGGTCTGGAGATTCTATTCTAGAACTTAAAGAAGCAATGTAATACTGTCCTAAAATAATCTGAACACTCCCAAGGCCTTTCCCATCTTTGAATTGCCCTTGACATACTATGTCTTTCTTTTTACTGTATGATTAAGGTTTATTTTATGTGAAACAAAGCCCAAGGGAGCTCAAAGAGTCATAAACACAAAAATAAAAGCCAAAGGGCATCAATATTAATAAAGCTAAACAAAAAAAATAGTAAATAACTTCTGTGAAAGTAAAAACAATGACTAATTCAATCCAAACAACTAGGTCATGCTCAAATGCCAGTAATTCTAAAACTTAGATATAATAAGGCAAGAATTTTGCTTTGCTTCAGTGGTCAAAATGAAGGGGACCCATTCAAGGGCAGTACCAGCAACAGACACAATGAAAAGACTAGAGCAACAAGGACTGGGCGAAAGCAGAACAAGGCCAGACTACCAACACAGCACTACCTGGGAATTCGAAAGAGCAGAGAAATAACAAAGATATTGCTCACAAAGGCCACCCAATCACTCAGCAAACGTCTGACTCTCCCAGAGAATGACAAAAAAGCTTCAGGCATGTGTCTCTGCTTAGAGGAAGCAAGTGAACAATCTAATCAAAGAGATATCATGATGCTCCAAACCAAAGACACAAGAAGTACTCAGGATGAAGTCAGACAGGGACCTCAGGTGTGCCAAAAACTGAAGAGGCTAGAAGAGCAGGAGGTGATAAAGGCATATTACTAAGGGAACAAGAGAAAATAAAGTTCAAACCGTAGAAATAATACAGTCTGCTGATTTGGGCTGTTTTCTTGTCATTCTTAAAGGTGAGCTGGAAGAATGTAGAATGCAGGCTATTTAGAGAAAATTTACATTCCATGTGAGTTGGAGTCACTATAAGACACTCTTCAATTTAACACCATAGCATTCATTCACTTGCTGAAAAAGAATTGCAAAGTATGAGAACCTTGCTGTGGGCCAGTGTCTGGGCCACCAAATCTTAATGGCACCGCCCCACTTCAGGGTACTTGGCTTTGCTGGTTTAAATGTCATAGTGGCAGAACGAAGTGAAATCATAAATATCTCACATGAAGAAACATGCTCTAGAACAAGAACACAGCCATATAATGAACAAGAAAGGAGCAAAAAAGCAAGGGTAGGCTGGCTGTGGACACAGCGCTGGCTCTGCAGTGGTGGCGACGGACTTGCACAGCGACATTCAGGCATCTGCACAGACCTCTGAGTTTTCCAAAGGATTTCCTGTCCCTCGACTTAAAAAAGACAGACAAGTAACTGACAATGTGATCAGATCTTTTCTACCAGAACTTTTAAAACCAACCGGGGCTAAAAGGATTTTCCAAAACATTTCCAAAATCAAAATAAGAAAAGAGCAATCTACCATTAATATTTCCCTCTGCCAACTACATCAATGCAGCTCAGGCCAGAAAATTTAAGACAGGGCCAAAGAAGGCTTTTCCCAGTGAAACATTTTAAAAGATACTAATGCAACTTTATATTTCTTCTATGCAATCTCAAAGGGGATAGTAATTTATTATCTAATGACCCAAGGTTTCCAAAAAAAAAAATTTAAGGTCGAGTTTTATCACCATTATAAAAAAAAAATGGTTATAGTTTATAGAATTTCATACTTTAATGTAAAATTCAATAACTAATTTTATGTCCCTAAATACAAAATGACTTCTTAAAAAGATGAAAACATATCAATATATTCAAAAGTTTCTGTTAAAGTGTTTTAATATCTAAGAATTGAACAAATGGACTTTTAATGGGCAGCTGAACTGAACATCCAACATAATTGTGCCTACATTTTGTTCTACTATAGCTTTTAGTATTTTAGCTCTATGTTATTCATAATTGCAGCCATTACTAATAATTGATAGCTATCACAGAAAATATGAAAGAAAGCATGTTTTCCCCTTGTCTTCATAGTGGAATTAAAAATGTGACATTAAAAAAGTGACAAAATGATCTTTTTTCACTATTTTGAGCCCTTTGCCACTTTGGGGGAAAAAATACAATCTTAAATGGAAAAGATAGCCTCTGGATTATAAATATGACATACATACATTTCTGGTATATTCCTATTCAACACAGTGTGATTTTGCCATTTTTTTATCTCACACATAGAAAAAAAAAATCATCTCTGCCTCAGTCTAGACTGCCAACCAGGTGTGTCTCATTTGAAAGGCAAATAGGCAAAACAATAACCAGAGAATGAATGGGCTTGTTTCTGCATCTCAGTACAAGCTTGTTTGTGGAATTTGCTATGCTACAAATCTAAAACAAAGAGCAAAGGTTAGAAAAAAAATTCCAGACTCATTGTTTACTTCTCAAAGTTTTTGGAATTCCCCTGCAGAGAACTTTACTTGTTTAGTAATCTATGTCTTTCCCTTTGTTGTTAGTACTAGTTTTACTAATGCTTCTTCTCTCGATTAAGAATGGGTTTCAGGTAGCTGCTTCAGTAACGTCTTGGTCACTTTATGCAATTTAGTGATACAACAAAGAAGTGCTTTGCTTCCACGAATAAAATACAATAGCAAATATAAAACAAACCTTAGAGTCCACCAAGTTGAAGACTGCATGTGACTGGATCCCAGACAATCACACAGGATGGTTCAGTTGACTGGTAACCCAATACAGCAGCTTTTTTCAAGCTAAAGAATTAAACTCTGCCTAGATCTAGGGCAACGGAAAGATGTTACCTTTGAAAATATTGGCATCCAATTCCTTCCTGACACTATGAGGAGCTACATTCTTACTGGTACTTAGACCAGGACAAAGATTAGAGTGGTGTGCAGTCTTCCATTTCACTACCCTTCAATGTACCCTGGGGTTAGGAACCCAGGTGTATACTAGCAGTGACACTGTTTTGCATGCTTTGTGCTTGGTACACTTAGAATGCTGTTAAACAGAACAACTCTACAAAAATCACTAATTTAAAGAACTGCAAAGGATGAAGAAAGCTAAAAACCTGTTTGAGACTAATTAAGGAGACCCAAGAAAATCCCAGACAAAGAAGAACGTATGGAGACAATAAAAATATCATTGTTTACAAGAATTTTGGGATAAGATAAACCGATGGAGTACAATTTTTAGGGCAGTCAAACTGTGTATGATTCTACAATAGTGGACAGATGTTACTTCACATGTCTTCACACCCACAGAGCACTGGTTCATGGGTTGGAACACACATACCACTCTGGTTCCAGGTGTAGGTACTGGGGAGGTTATGTATGCATGGGGCTTGGGGACATAACTGGAATATGTCCATACCTCCTATTCAGTCTTGCTCCAAATCTAAAATGACTCTTTTAAAAAGTTGTTTTTTTAAAAATCCCAGACAACTAGTTCTGGAATTCTCCCACTTGCCGATAGTGATTTGTTTTAAACTGAAAAAAGAAGTAAGTCTGTTGGAAACCACTCCACAGAGGACTCCTGTGAGCTTTCGGTCCCTTCGCTCTTACAAACCACAGCCAAAAAGCTCCAACTCTGAATATTTCCCAAGAAACAAACCTTAAGATGTCTATAAACTCCAGACTTGTCAGGAAATACCCAAGGAAACTCCCCCAGAGACTGCAGATCTCTCGTCCATGCCTTAGTGCGCGGGGTGAAACTGCAATCTCAGGGTTTAGTCATGCATTACAGTCTGAGATGTTTGTCTTCACTCATCTGTCATTCACCCAATTACAGAACATTCCTCTCTGGAAATTCTTAAGAAAAATGAGCCATAACTTTGACTTGATTACGCCTTGAATTTAAACCAAAGAACATGAGCTAGACACTTACACTCCAGACTCCTCCCCTCCACCTGTGTCTAATTTATGTCACAGCCAAGGCTGAGCAAGTGACTAATATCACACAAGTCTCAGGTTTTCTGCTCGGCCACCTATGATTTCTTTCCATAATGTGGCTAAACTGAGAAGAAAGAAAAGGAGACAGGATATGTTTTGACTTTGCAAGACCCAATCTTCCCATTAGGAGAAGACAACACTCATCTTTTGCTTGCTCCCCCATCTCTATTTACCTCTAAAAGCTTTCCTGGAGAACCTGTTAGGTTAAGTAAACATCGTGCCAAATGAGAAACAAATGTCTCCAAAACTGCCACTTGAAACACCACAGAAGAAAAGGGCAACAGAGCCCCTCTCCCCTTACCTGGGAAAGCGTGTGGATTGGGCGATCCTCTCTTAAGGCACTTAGAACAGAGGATGTGCACAGTGTAGTGCAGTCCAGGCCATTCCTGAAGCAGGACATTCAGTTCCTCTACCAAGGGGGTGATGGCTTGCCATGCGGTCCATATATTTGGTAATGATGCGTGGCTGGCAATAGACAGGGTATCTGGCTGCAAGACGCCCTTGGCCGGTCTGTAACTCACCACCACAGGAACTTTCCCTCTATATGCAAAGATCTGAAATTTTCCATCTGACCTGTGCACCACATGGCTGTTGATCTGGACACTGTAGCGCGCAAACAACCCAGGTGGAAAGGTAAAGGGGAAACTATATTCAATCTGCAACTGCTCAGCCACAAAAGACTGGCCAGCTAGGTTGGTCCCATTAATCCAGGCCTCTGCATGGGGTACCTCATTCTGCACATAGCATGGAAACTTGTACCAAGCTGTTGAGCCATTCAGTGGCTTGCCCTTGGGTTTATTGAGGCAGTAGCAGAGTCCCATCTTCTCTAGCAGCTCCAGCAGCAGTTGCAAGTCCTGTTGGGCCTGGACATGAGGCTTAAGCAGCAACCGAATGATGTGAGCTGGCAGGAGCCCATGCAGCAGAAAGCCCTCCACATAGTGATGCAGCTGGGTGGCCCGGAGCACATCCTGGTTCGGGGCAGGCAGTGCCATAGCAGGGAAGCTTTCCCCCTCAGCCTCACTCTCTCCACTGGTCCCCAGGAGCAGTTTATGCAGCAGCAAGGAAGCATCTCTCTGGAAAAAAACATTGAGGATGTCGATGAGGCGGGTGAGGTTGTGGAAGACGTGCTCCTTGAGGGCTGGGCTGTCCTCAAAGTACAGCAGCTTGCCACTCTCATGCAAATAGGAAAGGGCACTCTGCAGTCGGTCCTCAGTCAGACCAGCCTGCAAGCCCAGACGCGCTGAGTCCCACCAGCTTAGCCAAAGTCGCTGTGCTTGGGGTGGCTGGAAATGAAGCTCTTCCAGCACCTGCCAGGATCGAGGCAGGACTCTATGTAAGTTGGGGAAGATCTCTCGGTGTTCAGCTACTGAGAGCAGCTTGTCCCGAAGACGTTGCAATAGGCGGGGGTCCCAGCAGCTAACAGGCAACACAGGTGAGAGGATCTGCAGCCGGTGGTTAAGCAGGTATTGAAAATGAGCTTTACGCCGCCGAAGGTTCTTGTCAGAAACACCATAGTAGGCTGCATGAGGGCTGGCAGAGCGCAGTTCAAAATCCCGAGCCAGGGCCTCGTCCACCACCTGGGCTAGATGGCTCAGGCCCTCTGCATCGTGCTTCTCCTGTAGGGCAATCTGGCGGTGAATGTCCAGACACTTCTCTTCCAACTCCCGCTCAGCACACAAGTCAGCATGTGTGCCCACAATGCACACCACAGCATGAGGCACCCGCGCCCCCACCCGGTGCAAGAAGGAGCCCACAGTGGTGGGAAAGCAGCACGGTTCATAGGTGGCCAGGTTAACTACCAGCACATACAGGGCACCTGGGGAGAGGAAGAAGGGCTGGATCACTTCATAGCTTTCATCACCAGCTAAGTCATACACGATGAACCGCAGGCCCCTGGAAGCATCTGCAGTCCAGCTGGTCACCTCGATGCCCTTGCTTCCAGGGGGAGGGGAAGGTGGGTAACTCTTCTCCTTGTCACCTCCTCCTTGGCTTCCCCCCACTCTGTCCTCGGTTAGGCAGTGCCTGAGCAAGGTCTTTCCTGAAGCCTTGTGGCCCATGAGCAGCAGTTTGAGGCGGGGCTGAACCGCAGGCTGCGAATGAGCCAGCTCCTTCTGGTAGGCTGCAATGTAGGGGATCCCCTTCATGCAGACCTCGTAGGGGGGCTGGATCAGTGGATTGTCCTTGATCTTCCACAGGCCCACCCGGGAGAGCTGGCCAAAGTTGTCAGGCAGCACAGCGATCTGGTTCCCCTGCAGCACCAGCTCCTCCAGCCCAGTTAGCTCCACAATGGAGTCTGGCAGGTAGCGGATCCGGTTATTATCCAGCCACAGGGTTAGAAGCCGACCCAGCCCGGAGATAAGGGATGGCACCGAGGTGAGCTGGTTTCGACTAAGGTAGAGCTCCTCCAGACCAGCCAGGGGCAGCAGCGCATCAGGGAACTCCTCAAAGAGATTGGAAGAGAGATTAAGCATTTTGAGTCGTTGAAGGAGGCTGAACTGTTCAGGCAGAGCCTGCAGCCCGTTGTTGTCTAGCATGAGGCTCTCCAAACTGGCCAGCTCGCAGAAGCCATTAGGCAGGGTGCCCAGCTCAGCCCCACTCAGCCAGAGAATCTTGAGGGCACGGAGGGCACTGATATCCTCAGGTAGGCCTCGCAGCCGGTTGCTGGACACGTCCAACTCCTCCAGGGCCGGCAGCTGCAGCAGCTGCCGGGGAAAGGCAGTGAGCTGGTTGTGGTCCACGTCGAGGGTGCGCAGGCGGCAGAGGCAGGAGAGGGAGTCGGGCAGGTGGGTCAGCCGATTGAAGCTGACATCCAGCTCCTCCAGGAGGGTCAGGGAGCCCAGCTGGGCAGGCAGACAGGGCAGCTGGTTGTGGCTAAGGTTGAGTTTGCGCAGCTCCCTTAGGGCATTCACAACCTCCGCACCCAGAGCGGTCATCCGATTGTGACTCAGGTCCAGCTCGGTAAGGTGGTGGCCCAGCTCGGCCACCGCAGGGGGCAGCCGGGCGAAGCGGTTCCTGCGCAGGATGAGGACGCGCAGGCTCCCCAGTGCCGACCCTAGCCCGTCTGGCACCTCCTCCAAGCCGTTGTTCCCCAGGTTCAGCACCTCAATGTCTCCGATGTTGGCCGGCAGCACCAGCTGGGGGGCGTCGGGGGACTCCAGGGGGTCGGTTCCGGCCTCGGGGCAGCCCCCAGCTGCGCTGAGGGTCAGCTGGCGCAGGTTGCTCCGCAGCTTCCTGGCGCGCAAGGCGGCATCCCGCCATAGTCTCACCGTCTTCAGGTTGCCACTGTCCTTGCCAGCCATGGCGGGGCCCCAGGCCGACACCTTCACGCTGGCTCCCGCAGCCGCATGCCGCGCCGCACCCCCGCCAGCGCCGGGCTCCCGGGCCCTTAGGCTCCGGCTCCTCCCTGGCCACTTCGCCCCGGTGGCCAACGGCCGAGGGTCCTAGCGCAGCCAGGGCCCGGGCGCCTGCAGCTGGGGGGCGGCGACGACGCGAGCGTCTCTGGGGGGCGCTGAGCGCTGGGCGCAAGTGGAGGCAGCAGCCGGCTCGAAGTGCAGCTCGCATTCTCCGGGCTCCAGGGCCATGGGCGCGCCGGGAAGCAACCGCGGAGGATGCCTGCTCCTCCCCCCACCCCACCCCGCTCCGCCTGCCTGCCTGCGGCGCCTTGATGCCCGGCTCCGGCCCCGCTACCCTCGCAGCCGCGGCCCCGACACCGGCAACGGCGTGGCCTCCGCGAGCTCCGAGAGGAGGGCGGCGCCGGGCTCCGCGGCGGGCATGCTGCGGGCGCAGGGCCCGGCGCAGCCGAGAGGAGGGGGTAGCGACGCCTCCGCGTCTCCGCTTACCCGGACTCCGGCGGGAGCGCGAGCGCCGCGTCCCCGGCGCTGGGAGGGCGCGATCGGGAAACTACAGCGCCGCCCGGCCGAGCGCCCCCACGTGACCGGCGGAGGCGCCGCGTGTTCCCGGCACCGCCCCAGGGGCGGGAGCCCCAGCTTGGAGCCGGGTGCGGAGCTAGGGGTGCCTGCCAGGAGACGCCCGCGGCGTGGAACCAGCCGGGTAGGGAGACCGCCCTCCTGTTGGCGTGCAACTCTGGGGCTCTCCCGGTGGGCTCGAGCTCCTGGCTCTTTGTTGGCCCTGCGTCTCTAAGGATTTGTTTTTCTTCCCCAGCGTGTGAGATCCGCAGGCTTCTTTTACTTATTTATCGCCTCCCCCTTCTGTCTACCTTCCATCCAAACGTTAATGGAGCTGGCAGGACTCAGAAGCCCGGGCTCGTTGCAGAAGCTTATTGCGAGGTAGTGGTTAAACAAAAGAAAGGAGGAAACCGACCAACCACTCGTTCATTTGGTAAATATTTATAGGAGCCCTATTTTGTGCCAGACCAAAGTCCAGGTTTTCAGAGACACCGGGGAAGTCTTTGAAAGGGGACAGTGGCCCCTGCTTGAGGTCCTTGGGATGGGAACCATAGACGGTGTTTTAGCCAAGGTGTCCCATGTATCTTTGCACCAAACACTTGAAACAAATACCGTAGCCATAGTAGTACAGTACCTGTTGCAGTATACTTTCCGGCACAATTCACAAATCTGAGCTCAAGTCACATTCACCTGTACTGGCTCTTAAGTTACATGAGACAGAGAGAGACAGAGAGTGATAAAACCAGAGACAGAGAGAGAGGGAGAGGAGAGAAGAGAAGCGGAGAAGGGAGGGACAGGGAGGGGAGGGGAGAGAACAGAGAGCCTGAGACTGGAGTCCAGCTGAGACACAACCCAAGTCCTTTTTTTATTTTCAGAGACAGGGTCTGACTAAACTGCTGAGTTGCCCAGGCTGGGCTCAGACTTGTAATTCTCTTGCCTCAGCCTCCTAGAGCACTGGGATTATAGGAGTGCACCCCCCCCCCCGGCTAAATTGCTTTATTTATTTCAGTACTGGGGATTGAATCCAGAGCTTCTCACAAGCTAGGCAAGTCCTGTACCACTGACCTACATCCCCAGCCTTAGAGAGTCAGAGACAAGAATCTGCCCTGGTGATGGTTACTAAGACTCGACTTACATTGTGTAACTGGAAGACGCTAACCAGGGCAGCTGGGTCCCAGATCTCTGACACCACAGGTAGAACGTAGATAATTTACCATTAGGATTGATCTATGCCCACTGTAAAGGTCTTCCTGGAAGATAATATTACTTGGGCACCCCAGCCTGCCAGATAATCAGAAGTTTAGAAGAAAAATTTTAAGTCATGGATGCTGATTTTTTTTTTCTCCAGAAAAGGGTCCAAAGATATTAAGTGACTTCCCAATTCACTAGCAAGGTATAAATGGTAGAGCCAGTTCCTAACTCCCCAAATGGAGCAACCCCCTATAGCACATCACTTTCTTGATGTTCTTGAACCAAACTCCCAAGTCCTCCATCCTTCAGTGTCTTTTAGCATGAATTTGAACCACAGCCTGGAGGAGAAAGTTACCAGCTTTTTACTCCATCATAAATGAATAAATTTAGGGCCTAAAGTGGTTCAGATTACACTTAACTAGCATGTGCTTCTCTCTAGAAGTCATCAGAAAATTGGTGCTTCCATTTCAAGTGGTGTTTTGTTGTTTTTTTAAAGTCTGTACTCTGCTTATGTCATTAGGTAATCAGTAATGTGCTTTATCTGCTAAAGAGAACTGGGTAGCATGGAGAACCTGCCAGAGCTGAAGCTTCTTAGCTCTCCCTGGTGTTCATAAACCTGGTAGGAAAGAGTTTGTTCAACAGAAATGATTCTTTCAGATCCCCTTGGCCTGCATAGTGCTGATGCAGTTAGTGTCTCTGTAGATGGCTTGATCTGAAGCCTTGACCAAGAGTTCTTTGAAAGTCAAGTTTTAAAAGAAAGATTAAAAAGAAAGACAAATCAGTGAACTCAGTTGTAAAACTCCAGGAAATGAAGTTGTGTTCAGTGTACCTCTTACACCAAAGCAAGAAGGACTCCTTCCCTGCACACCCACCTTGGCCCTCATCTAGCCATGCTGTGTCCCTGTGGTTTCATCATGATGGGCCAACTTCTCACCCTTCCACCTTAAAAACACACCCAGTATGAAAAGTCTACAATTCTGAGCTCAAATAGCCTCCAGCCTGGATGGGGAGTTTGCATCTAGACTATCAACCAAAGCTCTGTGTGTTAGAGGTTTAGGCCCCAGTATTGTGCCACTGGGGGGTGATAGGACCTTTAAGAGGTGAGGCCTAGTGGGAGATTTTAAGCTATTGTGGGGAGGGGGGCCTTGACAGGCATTGTGAGGACCCTCTTCCTCTTTTTTGCTTTTGCTTATCAGCTGCCCTGAGGCACGCAGCGAGCTCTCCCATGTGCTGTCTACCATGATGTACTAAATAGTGGGGCCAACTGATCAGGGACTCAGAGCCAAAATGAATCATTTCTCTTCATAAGTTGGTTATAGCAGTTTTCTCATAGAGTAACAGAAAACCAATTAACATAAAGAGGAAGGAGCAGTTCTTCATAGTCATCCAAAAGAAGTTGCTAATGAGCACACATCACTGGGCCTGGGTTCTTGACTGTAGCTACGGGCTCACATGTCTCCTTACTACTGCATGGTCAAAATGAGAAGGTGCATGCACATGCCACGTTTGTTAGCATAGCATAGCATATTTACATGTTTGGACATGTGCTACCTGGACCCCCATTGGTACTCTTGCCCTGGGCCCTGGAAATGGTAGGGTTTTTGAAAGAAAGCACCTCAGTTTGGAAAAGGATATTCTATTACTAGAAATATTTACCTTGGATGTTTACGTAATATTATGGATCTAATCTATAAGCTTTTTAAAACCTTTCCAATTTAGCCCTGTTAAATCACGTGTATCCTGCTTTTCTTACTCTAATGCTATTATCATTTGAGCTGCTATCCTATGGTTGCAATAGCATCTCATGAATGCTGCTTTGTCTCAGAGTCCAGACCCTCTGTAAAACACACATGTAGGTGACAAAAAGTGTGTGAAGATGTGGTGTCTTGAGATAGGCCTTAACAGATGAGGCTGGTGGAAGGGTGGTTGCTGGGCGCCCCAGATATTCTATCAGTACCAGTATGGATGCTATAGGACACCTTGCTAAGACTGTCAGCCAGCTATCTGCTTGTCACACTGGACTTTTCTCCATTTTCATGCATTTCTCTTTGAATTTGCTAACACGCTAACTATAGTTTCAGGGCCTTATTTTCTTCCCTGAAAAATGCTTTACACAGGTGCTCTAGGGTGGTCTAGGCTCCTTTCTTAGACCTAAAAATCTGGCCTTCTTCCTATTATGTCATCAGGTTTACTCTGTCTAAATGTCAGCTCATGCTTTTTTCCTTCCTTGACCTTCCACAGTTGAAAATGTTAAATTTCCTTTGGAAACTTTCGCCTTGCTTGACCTGGAGGATATCTAGTATCACTTTATGGTTTAGACTTTCAAAAGGACCCATATAAGACTAACTCTGTTTCCTTCCAGGTGTCAAGTTGGCAGTAGAATAAGTGCTCCCAAATGACCCTCTGTAACTACTAGGCAGACTGCCTAGGATTTGACTAGATATGGACAGCTTCTTATCATAGCACGTAGACACTGTGCTTTTTAAAAATTCTACCTATATTTTAAATTGATAAGTCTAAAAGTCAAACAACTATATTTTTCCACAGAACCTTAATTTTGCCAGTCACAATTTAAGTATTTATTTTAGGGGGACCCTGTGTCCCATTTTGCACAAGACTGGGGGTTTCCCAGGATGAGAAACATTTAGTGCTTAAAACCACAACAATCTTAGGAAACTAGTACACTTAGTTCTCCTAGTCACTTGGACTGTAGAAAGAATCTTTTCCCTTGCTCTCTTTTTCCTCTTGGAATTGAGAAAGTACAAATTCACAGAAATGTAGCATTTTTAAATTGTTTCAGCTGCCATAGATTTTAAGAATAGGCCTGATTTCATTTATTTACCTGCTTTCTGATTTAGAAGAGAAGACATCTGTGGTCTGGAAGTTCTAACTTTGGAAGATGAAAACTACCTGTCTGGTCTTGAAAGGAAATTTGTAGCCTCGATCGTGCAGTGTAAGTGAGACAGGGACTGGGTTACAATGCTTCGTGAGAAATGAAGTTGAACACTCCATGAGTCTAGAGATGTTGAGGATTTGCTGCTTTTATCTAGAAAAAGAGGAGTGCTTTCCACATTTTAGTCTCTTATAATTTTAGATCCATCCAGTATTTTGATTTAAATAAACAACAATGATCTATCCTGTCAGGCAAAAGATAGCTAAGAGAACAGTCTCGTCTCCATGATTTTAATTAGACTGTGCCTTCTTTGGCTTGATTTTATAGAAGTGGAAAGAATCAAAGGAAAAAGAGAAAGAGGACTGGAGAAGGACCTCTGTCTAAAGTGAAGGAGATTAGAAATAAGCCTTAAAAATGGACATCAACATACTCATGTTTAATGTGGCACTATTCACAATAAGGAAAATGTGGGACCAATTCAGATGCCTATTACCAGATGAACAGATAAATAAAATGTAGTATGTGCACACAGTGGATGATTATTCAGTCATAGAAATATGAAAGCCTGTCATTTACAACAAAATTCATGGAATCAGAGAACATTTTAAGTGAAATAAGCCAGATACAGGATGATGAGTACTGTATGTTCCCTCTGATAGGTAGAAGCTAAAAACAGTTGACCTGAATGTAGAATAATGACTACTAGAACTTTAGAAGGAGCTTTTTAAAGGGAAAGAGAGGGTAAATAAAGAGAAGCTAAACTTCAGTGCACACTGTATGCATATGTTGAAAATGTCACACTAAAACTCAATGTGTACAATAAGTACATGAAAGTCAATAATAAAATAATTTTTAAAACTGATGTCAAAGCTGGGCACAGTGGCAAGTACCTGTAATTCCAGCACT